ATATATATATATGATGATCACATTCATCATAGGGAATTCATGCTTTTTTTCCCCATTCCCCTCCCCTCCCTTTAATTTCTCTTTACTTCATTTATAAAAGCTCTGTTTCCATTTTTTCCTTCTATTCTTTTTCTTTCTTGTCCCTTCTTTCCTTTCTCTCTCTTTTTCCATGTTTCCCTTGTCATTTGAACATTTTCTTCCCATTTCCCAATATCTATTATACATTTTGGTCCTACATTCCACTTTCAGTTTCTCAAACCAGAGGAACAATTTGATATTTAAACATGTGTGTCCAACTTATCTTACTTAAAAGAATGGTCTCAAGGTGCATTCCTTTAGCTAGAAATGTCTCAAACCTATCCTTCTTTATGACAGAGTAGTACTCCACTGTACATAAAAAATGACATCTTTATCCATTTATTGGTCAATGGGCATTTGGGCTGTTTCCAAGATTCAGCTATTATAAACTATAAACATGGATGTGTATATATCGCTGTGGTATGATGCTTCTAATTATTTTGGGAAGATGCAAGAAGAATACCTGGGTTGAATGGAACCTCTAGTTTAGTTTTTTGAGGAATCTCTACAGATTTCCACAGTGGTTGCACCAGTCTCCACTCCCACCAACAATGGAGAAGGGTTCCTTTTTTCAAAATGGGGGCATATATTTACAAGGCTGAGATTAAATATGGTCTCAAGAAAAGGTAACTAATACTAACGACCAAGCAAAAGTCAGGGGCATTTCACAGAAGTGTGAAGAATGCTTAATCACTTCAGTGTTTCAGTAATCAAGGAAATTCAAAGTCCACAGGGAAATTCCATTTTGTACTTCAGTGACTGGTGAGGCAGTCTCTAGATTCAAGATCTAATTGGCAAAGTCCTACAGTGTGGCTACACATGGCTGTCATTTATTTTATATGTTTAGTTCACTCAGTCTTCTACATATACAAGAGTATAGATATAGCCTGTGTTACATTATGGGGAAATAAACATTGAATGAAACCAAATAGTCAGCCCTCAAAAGATATCATCCAGCAGGAGGGAAAAGATGTTGCACAAATAATGATAGCGCAAGATTTCAGGGGATGAGTGAAGTGAGAAGCAAAATGTACTACAGGAATTCAGAAGAGGGAGAGACTGGAGTCAGTCGGAGGGAACTCACCAAAAGTTCATGAAAGGTAAGCATCTAAGTAAGTCTCGAAATGTTACAGGTAAAAATCAACAGGGAGAACTTTCCCACTTGAATGAATGGTGTGCGGAAAGCCACGAAGTGCTGGGAAATTCAAGACATCATAGGGGAATAGCTAATGCAGTTTGGTTTGTTAAGAACACATAGTATATACACAGTGGGACTGAGAGACACTTGAATAGAGAACAGGCAGTGGCCAGTTACGAATATCCAGGAAGATGAAGGAGACAGAGTTGTGACTAGATCCAAATGACATGGCTGTTCAGTTCCGCGAGCAGAAACTAGTAAGAGCCAGAGAATTCAGCCAACTCTGGGAAGGTATTAGAAAGACATGAACAGTCTGCTTTCTTTTCTACTAGACATGTTTGGGAGGCCCAGACATTCTTGTTCTTTCATTTTCTGACATATAAATAGGTCATGATCATTGAACGAAAAATAGAAATAGAATCATACCTATGTTCAATAGCAGCCCTATAAAAAAAATGAGAAGCAAACTCTCAGCTTTCTTCTTCTTTTTTTTTTTGGGGTACTGGGGATTGAACTCAGGTCCTTGCGCTTGAGAGGCAGGCCACTGAACTGCTGAGCTAAATCCCAGGCCCTCAGCTTTCTTCTGATACACAAGAAAATAGAAAAAGTTTCTCTTGTGTCTCAGCTACTTCAATTGTCTGTTATTCATGGGAGTGAGTGCTAGGTTGAACCTGTGATGGCAGCAAAGATATAATAATAATAAATGATGATGGAGCTGGAGTTGTAACTCAGGAGTAGAGCATGTGCTTAGCATGTGGAAGGCTCTGCACTCACCAGTACCACATTAGAAAAAAAAAAGAGTGATGACAAATCCTTCAACACTTCCCAAAGTGACACTATGGGTTTTCAAGATAATTAAACCAGCATTGGAAAAAAATTAGCTCTAGATATTGATATTCAATAAATAAGCCTTGGATGATAAAGAATAGACCAAACGGATTTTTATAGCTGGTGGCAGGCTGCTTGCTCTCTTTAAAAAAAGTTATAGTAACAAATAAGAAAAAAGTTTTATTACGCATACATATTAACTATATTATCAATTTTACATAGGCTCAAGACAATTTCCCTTCATTCAATGTAGCCCAAGCTAGGCAAAAGGTTGGACATGCCTGAAAGTGATCAGGTAAAAACATCAATACAACAGTGATCCTTTCAAATACACAGAAGTAGTTCACAGTGATTAGTTCTCATCAGTTCTGCACTCCAAAAACTCAACAGAAAGTATATGATATTCCACATCCAACTGTTAATTACGTAATGCATAAATAGCAAATGAATGTGAATGAACAAGCTGGCCACCGTAGGAAAAGTTCTTAGCACTTTTATTATATTCTTATGATAGTCTATTTTTCTAATATAATGGTTTGTATGCTCTCTTAATGGTCTGTGAGCTTCATAAAGGCAGAAGCCATGTCTTACACCTGCTTCTATCTTTATCACTTACAACAGTGCCTGATACATAACTGACAGGCACATATGTGTGTGTGTGTGTGTGTTTACACTAAAGGAAAACAAGTACTTAGAAGAGAGCTAGCCTTAGAAAGAATATGAGAGAAAGACCTACTGTGACAACAGAAACTTCATTACTAACTCAGAAAATGTTATTTGAAGAACACTTACCTGGCGCGTCATTACAAAATACGCATACATGGCCATGGCACTTCCGTAAGTGATGAAGTAGGTGACTGGCTCCATGATGTCCCAGGAATATTCCCACCAGGTGAGTCGGGCCAAAATGCCAAACTGTGTGGCCATGTAAGCAAGGCCACCCCATAGCACCAAAGTGGTCCTCTTCTCAGCTTTTCGGCTAATTTCGATTCGTACCTGATGGGCACACATGTTGCAATTGTAAAGAATTTTGACATGGAACCAATTTGAAACTGTTACTTAAACTGTTCTAGGTCCACTACAGAAACAGGGCTCAAGCCAGGGATTTAGCTCAGTGGTTCTACTGCCTACCTTGCAAGCACAAGGACCCGGGTTCAACCCCTGGTACAAAAAAAAAAAAAAAAAAAAGCAACAGGGCTTATAATCAAGGCAGACAGTAGGGTCAACTCTAGTAAATATTAATTTGTTTTCCTAAATAGTACCAGTAGTTTTCACTGAATAAAATTATCTTATAGGAACAACTAGTTTTTTGTGTTTTATTAGTTTCATCCTAGAAATTGGTGAAAATATGGGAGTGAGTTTCAGTGGCTTGTCATCCAACCACAAGATTACCTTCTTTATATTATCTCACTGCTGTGTACAAGATTTAATCTATTAGCAGTTTTAAATCAAATGCTATATGCAGCAGACTGAGTCAGGGCATGGATTCTGGATTAGGAGTAGTGGAGTTCAGGGCCCTCATCAGCAAAACACCTTTAACTTTAATTATTCTGAAGGAGTCAGAAAATGTACAATATTCAAAGCATTTCTTCTCTTTCTTACTCCTGATAATCTAATTTCTTAAAATGAAAATACAGTGAGGCACTGAATATTGGTGATTTGGTTCTGATGGATTGCATGTATGATGGTGGGCCCACAAGACATTAATGGAACTGCCAGATTCCTATTACTTAGCGACAGTGCAGCAATTGTAATGCCATAGAACAACACATTACTCATGTGTTGTGATGGTGCTGGTAAAAAGAAACCTACTGCACTGTCAGTCATATAACAGTACAGCATATACAATCAGGTATAGCACATGATACTTCGTGATAATAAATGACTATGTCCCTATGTATTTTCTAGACTATATTTTTTATTGCTATTTTAGAGTAAACCTTTTACTTAAGAAAGAAATGCCAGCAGCAGCCTTGTAAATCTCTTACTTAACATATCACGTTTGCCAAATCAAGTGGCTGGTCTATACCAGTGACAGCGAACCTTTTAGAGAGGAGTGCCCAAACTGCAACCCAAAATCTATTTATTTATCATCACTGCCAACACTGCAATGAAACCTGAATAGTGAGGTTTTAGTTTAGAAAAAAAAAAAACTCCTCATATTTTGTCTTAAAAGAAAACTGACATGTGTGCCATAGGTTTGCCACCACTGGCCCATACCACTTAGGTTTGTGGAAGTGCACTGCACTTAGAGATACATTTTTCAGAATTCTATGAAGCATAACTGTACTTCACCATATGTACAGTAATATGATGTATGTACATCATCACAAAAAATTAAATTATTTGGGTTGGGGTTTTAGCTCAGTGGTAGAAAACTTGCTTAGCATACATGAGGTCCTGGGTTTGATCTCCAGCACCACCACAAAATTAAGGGTAACATATGTTCGTTGCAAAACATTTAAAAAAGTGTAAAGAAGAAAAATTAATCATAATCCTTCTGCTACAGTAGCATTTTGGAATCCATTCCTTCTGATTTTTTGCATGTATGTATGTATGTATGTATGTCTGTATAAATATAAAAATGTGGATAGCTATATGCATACCTAAACATTGAATTATAGTATGCAATTGTTTTAGAATTTACTTTCTATAATATATCATGAACATTTTCTACAGTAAAATAGATTTACATAAACATTTTAATAGCTACATAATATTGCATATAATATTCACTCAACTTTGGCTAATATCATTAGCCATTATATTCAGAATCTTTCCTGATGAAGGAGGCAGGATTTAGCTGAGTAGCATTGTGCCTGCCTCACAAGCACAAGGTCTTGAGTTCAATGCCCAGTACCGGGGTGGGGGGGAATAAGAATCTTTCCTGATGAGCCATGATTCCAATCTTTGTATCAGAGATCATGAATGTGCTTAAAAGGAGCACATTTAGGCCTCGAAACTCTAAGACCATTATCAAGGCTTCAAATATTCCTTCTTATGTCCTTTCTCAGGATAGAATGGAATATTTTATGGCTGAGTCCTATAAACTATTATACAAATTTGACCGATATGACTCAGTTATGTAAGACTTAGAAGAAGAAATAGAAATGTGTCTGAAATAGAAGAGAGTCTGAGATGTGGATCTTCACCTTTTCCAGGGGAGCCAGCTGCTGTTTGAGATCCTCTAATCTCTCGATGAGCTCCCTTTCTTTGTTTAACTGGTGCTGTTCGATGCACAGTGTAGTGTAGAGCTGCTGGACTAGCGTCTTCACGTCGTTCAGCGTTGCTGCATTTTCATGGCTTAAGAGGTCTGAAAGAAAGGGGTTATTTACTTTTCAAAAAGTAAGCCTTAAATGAAGAACAGGACTACTAGACAATGACAAGATTACAAGGTAGATCCTCCATTAGAGGAGTCATACCTTTAGGGTTAAACTGAGAGTAACAGTTTTTTAAAAATTAATTGCCCCCAAATCTGTAACATAAATTTATATTTGGAACACAACAAATTTGAGAGAAATATCCATCATTATATTCTTGGAAGTCTAGGTGATATAAAAGTGACTGTGAATAAGGAAAATATTAAGAAAAATAAAGCAAATAATAATCTTCAGGACTAGGGTTTGTGTGGCTAAGTGGTAGAATGATTGCCTAGCCTATGTAAGGCCCTGAATTTGACCCCAGCACTGAAAGAAAAATCATTAAAGACAAAAACTCAAATGTTAAAAATTAGTAGAGAAGTTCAGAATCTGCTTATTAAAATGTCGATCTAAACTATATTGATATTTCATTGATATTTCTCTTTAGAAACTCCTGAGGAAAACATACACAGTATTTCAAATTTGCAAACACAAGACTGTAAATAAAAAATAACATCATCTTAAAAATCTCATCCCCGGGCTGGGGATTTAGCTCAGCGGTCCGGTGGCCTGCCTTGCAAGCGCAAGGACTCGAGTTTGATCCCCCATGCATCTTCCCCTGCGCTCACCAACTTGCATTCATTCCCGGTGAAGAAAGTCAAGAAGAGACTAGCTATGGAAGCCCAGTACCATGCTCTCAAGGGCATGAAGTTCTGGGAGTGACTAAAACAGTACACGATTAAATTCTTTGACTCAGTATCCTCTATTGTGAGTAGCATGTGTGTCTAGAAATCTAAAAATTATGTTTTGAGAATCCAATAAAAACTAAGCTTATCTCAGCTATTAAAAAGAGAGAGAGAGTAGACATGAAACTTTTATTTTTGAATTTTATTGCTTACAATGTGACATTTTGTTAGGTACAGCACAAGGTCAACCCTCTTCTAAATCCAAATAAGCCACAGTCAAGAATTAACCATATGTTTCAAATATTCTTCAAGGATGTCCTGTTATGCAGTTGTCACAGAAATCCAATCTGTGAAAATCTTCACATAGGGGTAGCAAAGTGGGTGAGGGAAGAGCTGTTCAGCAAAACGAGGTAGAGCATCTAGCACAGGATCTTGCATACTTTAGTAAATGCATGCTGTGATAGGAACACATAAAAGCAAGAACACTTTGAGTCCCAGAGGTCATCTGTGTCAACAAGCATTCTTTGTACAAAATCACCAGAAGGAACCGTACCCTGAAAGGTCAAAGTGACAGGCCCAGAACATCGGTACGAAGCGGCAGAGTCCTTGCCTCCTGACTCCCAGCCCAGGAGCTGAGTTATGCTTGTACAATACCAATCTTAACATTTCTCCTACAAGCTTACTTCCCCTTTGAAAACATAATGCCTGAAGTAGGAATGGCTCATAAAACTCATAAATATTATTCCATGTTACTCTCAAGATAATTGCATGAGTAAGCTTGATTCTCAAAACTTATAAATGAGGAATTTGAATTCCAGAAAGATAAAATTAAGAAATATCTTTGTCCCTGGTACAAATCTTGTTACCACAGAGGAAGAAAAAAATAAAATAAAGATCGTTCCCCTCCCTGATGAGATCTAGTAATGATATTCACAAAGTTGCAGAGCTAGTAGGGACTGGGAAAGGATCTGGCTAGTCCTGAAATGACTTACTTTTTCCATTTCAACTTTCAGTGCCATGATGACGCTGTATTTGCTTAGGAAGGAAGGGAAGAAGTAAACAAACTTAGATACTTCTCCTTCTCCAAATAAAGCATGGACAGGTTAAAAATATTCAAATATATATGGACAACCATAATCCGAGAATCTTTAAAATCTGAAACAGGCTCAGCATTTGTTTTACAAGAAAAGTAAGTTTATATTCATTGGAGACTACTTAGATTAAAAATTAATTTTCATTATTGGGCGTAGGGGCATTTGCTTGGAATCTCAGCTATTCTGGAGGAGGGTGAGGTACTTCAAGGTCAGCCTGAGCAACTTCTTAAAACCCTGTCTCAAAATAAAAAATAAAAAGAACTGGGATGTAGATCAGTGTGAGGCTTTGGATTCAGTCTTCAGTATCTACCTTTCCCTATCCCTCCACATTAGTTCTCATGTGAGGGGTTCTACTGTGTAAGAAATTTATTTTTCATATCAATCTTTTCTTTGTCTTCTGGTTTATGTTATAGTTAGAATGTTCTTTCTCATCCAAGGTTGTAAAAACACTTCTCTCGATTCTTTCAGTAACTTCAGTATTTCTTTTTCTTCTGTAAAATTTAAGTTTTGATTCACACACCCTTTGAGATAGCATTACTAGGCACTTATCCTACATATGCATGCATGTACTTTTTTTTCCGCGGTGCTAGGGATTGAACTCCGGCCGTTGTGCTTACAAGGCAGGCAGTGGAACCACTGAGCCAATCCCTGACCCCCTATGTACTTGTTTGTTTGTTTGTTTTGGGGGGTTTTTTTGAGACAGGGTCTCTCTATGTAGTTGAGATTGACCTGGAATTCACTATGTACTCCAGGCTGGTCTCAAACTCACAGTGATTCTCCTGCCTCAGCCTCCCAAGTGCTGGGATTACAGGCGTGCGCCACCATGCCTGGCTATGTACTTCTTAACTAACATATATTCAAGGTTGTCTGATGTGGACACAAACTATAGCAAAAGTTGAAAACAACACAAAAGTCTGTAAATTATGAGTAGTTAAGTAAAGGTGATGTAAACTCATAAAATGTACAACATAGTAGCTGTGAAAAAGAATTAGGGATTCTTTATGCACTAATTAATGTTAAGTTCTTTACAATCTACTTACATGATGAGAAAAACAGTTCAGAGGTTTTTATACCTTGTCATTCTGCTAAATTGATACTATGTTTCCCAGAAGATACTTTTGTGTATTGTTCTGAATTAGGGCTAACCAAAAGAGAAATTCTGGTGAGATTTTTGGAAGGCAGAAATGAAACAGAAGTTGCCCAGAGGAGTGTTGTGGTTAGTAGTAAGTTAGAGGCAGAGGGGCCTGAGGAAACCAGCTGCACCTGCTCTGGGTCCAACTCTTTAACTCAACTCTTTACTTTTGTGACTAACAGCAAACCAAGGTTCACAATCAGAGGCAGCCTTCTTAATGTCCTATCCAATGTTACAATAGTCACTGTCAGATGCTGTTATTTATTTATAAATTTTTAAACTAAGTAATTATTTGTCTTAATTTTACCATGTACATGCTGTTTTAAAATATGTATAAACTATAAAATGGCTGAATTGAACTAATTAAATATATACCTCAGGTTGTGATCAGCCTGACATATGAACAACTTGGATTAATTAGGTTAATGGAAGATCCATCTCCCTCTTGTTATCTGTACCCAGGTAAACATCCAGATCTCAGCTGTCTTGACCTAGTTACAACCAGCCCTTGGGAACGGATCTAAGTCAAGAGTCCACTGTATTACCTCACATACTTTTTTTGTGGTAAGAATACAAAGTCTGTCAGCATTTTTTTTTTTTTTTTGAGACAGTGTTGCTATGCAATTCAGGCTGGACTTGAACTCACTACGGAGCCCAGGCTGGCCTCAAATTTGTGGCAATCCTCCTGCCTCAGCCTCTCAAGTGCTGGAATTACAAGTGTATGCCACCATGCCCAGCTCTTAGCAATTTTCGAGACTATAATCCACTGTTGTTAACTATAGTCACCATGTTGTATAACAGATCTATTGAAGTAATTCTTTCTGAAGGAAATACTGTATCCTTTGACATTAACATTTCACAACTCCCACATGTTGCTAATTAAATTTAACATAATGAGAAATTCAGTTCCTCACACTATCCACATTTTAAAGTGCTCATTAGCCACATGTGATTGACGTCTATAAGTATAGCAGACAGGGCAGAAATGTAACATTTTCAGTATCATGCTAAGTCCTATTTAACAGTGCTGAAGAGTTTATTTCTCAACCAGCACTCACCACTGCCCTACCCTGAAAACTAGACGTGCTTGGATTACCATTTTTCCTGACAAGCTTTTGATTTGTTCACTCATGCCACTGCTTCGAAATTATTGACTTTTCACTGATCTTCTAAGCTCCCAGATTCTTTCTTCTTTAGCTTCATCTACAATTGCACAAGGTCTCGTTCCCATAATAAATATTTTATTCCACAGTATTCATGTGGTTGTTTCCTTAACTACCCTAAAACAAAAAAATATATATAGTATGCTACTATTTGCATAAAAAGAGAAAAATATGTATTCATATTTGCTTATGAGTGCACAGACTATTTGAGACCAGTCTGGGCTACATAGTGAGTTCCAGATCAGTCTTAACTACATAGTGAAACCCTGTCTCAAAAAACAAAAACAAACAAACAAACAGAATAAGACTTTTCCCCAAAAATTCTTTTAGACTTTAGAAGTAGACCTTACATACTATCTGTTCTAAACAAATGAGAAAAGTTAATGTGCAACCATAATATCTTCTAACAGCAATGAAAAAAAACCTAGAAAATAAAAAAGGATCAAAACAGGTCTCATAGACATCCAATTTTAACCAGGTGAATGTAAACAGTTCTTATCTTTCTGATTATGTGTCAATAAAGCCCTGGGGGACTCTCAAGTTTAAACTTTGTTTTGTTAGGTTTTCCTGATAGGAAGAACATGGTTCTAAGGCACTGTCCTGGTGGAGGAATACAATAATCCTGAACTCTAGACCCTGAAAAAATCTGCTCACATGTTTGAGAGATGAAGTTATTGGAAGAGGAAAAATAAATCTGCTAATAGCTTAACAACAGCACTTTGGGATAACTGATGTAAGATTCACTAAAAAAAAAAAGCACTTACATGTTTACTAATGTTTCTGTACCTGCCATCAATGTCAGGTTAATTAAGGTACAGAAAGACAGGAGACATACTAATGTAATTAGGTATTGAAAATTCTTTTCAGCAGCAAATATGGTTTGAGAAGGATTTTGGCTATTTGGGTCTCTAACAAGGTGATCGTTGTGGCTGGTGTTTGTCTTACCTGTTCAATTTCTCCTCTCAAATAATTTATATCATTAAGAAGAAGCAAGGTGGGCCAGGGATTTAACTCAGTGGTTCTACCACCTGCCTTGCAAGCACAAGGTTCCGAGTTCGATCCCCAGTTGCACCAAAAAAAAAAAAAAATGGAGGAAGCAAGGTTCAACATTCTCTTAAAAAAAAAAAAAAAAAAAAAAAAAAAATGGAGGAAGCAAGGTTTTCAACATTCTCTGGAAAGAGAGGCAAGGAACAGGGCTTTAGTGGTACAAATCAAATGATTCTTCTTGGCAGAAAAAGATATTTTCTGGTGATAAGGTGAATATATTCACTTCCTTTCTGAGAGTAACAGAGAGGTAGTTAAATACTATTTCAACATGGACTGGGATAAAAAGGCTTCTTGTGCTTCCTACATTCCACCCTCCAGGCCAGATTTAGATTTCTTATGAAGTCATCAAATTGAGAAAAGAGTCCAGCCTCAGGTGGCTATAGGTACTAAAAGAATGCGACGGAGTTTGCAGCTAGCCTTGGTGTTCTGACATGTCTCCTTGTTGCAATTTTGGATACATGTCCCCTTGTTTTAAATTGTGGATTAGGTACAGAGTTGTCAACACTTAGGATCCACAGCACCTACAGACTGCCAGTCCTACATAAATACGGAATGTGGCTAATAGGACTCCATATGAATGAGCCTTCTATCTCCAGGGCCTGGTGTAGGTGTCTGAAATTACAGTTCACACAACATTCATAAGGTATTTTTAGTTCCAAAGTTCCCATAAACGGGGTAATGAAATAAGAGAAGTGAGTATTAAAAGGGGGTAATGAACGAATAGAAAAAAGTTGTGCTAAAATTTAAAACTCCGTAAAAGACATGAACTACTTGAGCTCTTTAGACAAAGCAGGTATGTTCTATCTTCCCCATGTATATATAAACCTTAGCACTACTCTTTATGATTTGACAGCCAAAGCCTTTTATACTGCCCAATTTCCTTCACTCATGGCCTTTTCTTTAATGAGTTAGCATGTAGGGAAGAGGAATTTGCTTGCTCATTGGATTGGCTCATATCCCTCTCAAACAATAAATTCAAACTGGGCTGGGGATTTAGCTCAGCGGTTCGGTGGCCTGCCCTGCAAGCGCAAGGACCCAAATTCAATCCCCGGTACAAAAAAAGAAAAAGAAATTCAAACTGAAGAAAAAAAATAAAAGAAATTCAAACTGCTCTCTTAAGGTATTCAGTGAAAAAAGTGGTGTTGCCTTGGATGTCAGCAATACCTTCCTCATCCAAGGACAGGGAGATAATATGTTGCAAACAAAATTTAAACCTATTTTATACTTTTAAAAAAGATTTTGTTTACTTTAAAAATCAGAGAAAATAGGGCTGGGATTTAGCTCAGTGGTTTTACCATCTGCCTTGCAAGCGCAAGGTACTGAGTTTGATTCCTGGTACCAAAACCAAACCAAACAAACAAAAACCCCAATAACAACAGCAACAAAAAGTCAAAGAAAACAAAATATAGACTTAATATTATTTAAGTGTCTCAAAGAGGATGTCTAGAGACACAATCTCTTGTTGGCTGTTAACAGAACTAAGAGCATTTTGATGTGTGAATTTAAATACTACAAAGTCTTAAAAAACGTTACATGAATAATGCTACTGAGTTTACTAAATTTCATTCTTCACAAATTACAGACCTTTGATCTCTGCAAACTTTACATCCTAATCTACCCATAGAGAAGGTGGGTACACATTGCACCGTTCTAAGATACTGATAGAGCAAATAATTGTTAGACTGTCAAATCACCAACGAATCAAATTTCCCCCATTTTTAGTTTTTACCTTATCATTCTTTATTCAGCTTGGGAATACCCTTATTTAAAAAACTAAAACATTTATTTGTTTCAAAAGCACAGCATTAGACAAATGGTTGTCATTAGCCATTGCTTAAAATATCTTTAATTTCTGACATCAAACTTTATGAATGCTAATGTATCAACATTCCTAATTATTACACTTTATACTGGAGTCTCAGTCAAAGTTTAGAATGTTAACAACACAACAGAAAATTCAAATAGAACAGACTGCAGGTAATTCACACCAACACACAAACTGAGTAAAGAAAGCTATGCTTCTGTTATTGTAGAGAATTTATAGCCCAAGAATCAGGAAATAAGAAAAACGTCAGCATAGCTATTATACAGCTAACAGGTTTTGCATGCTGTTATTCCAACTTAATATAATCTGATTTAACAATGTTTTACTATTTAAAGGATATTTTCTATTTTTTTTCCTAGTTCGTTCCCTTTCAATATGCTTAAATAACATGATCCCTGAACAACCAACATGCTACCCAGTTAATGTGTTCAATGTATCACAGTAGTAGGACCCCTTGGGCCAGTGGAGAATACAAAGTTACAGGGCCTTCTCCAGGGTGTTTTCTGACAAAAAACGAGCACAATTCTGAGGAGAGATCAATCATGACAAGTTGACTGAGATTCAGAGAAAGGAAGAACAGGCTCATTCAAAGCATCGTGGAAGAGCTGACACTGGCGATTAAGGCTGAGAAATGAGAGGGTGAGCAAGGGGGAGGGAGAAAGGCATCTTAGGCAGAAGAAAGATGAGCAACAACTGAGATAGTATGGAATAGAGCACAGCCAAGGAGCGTGTGGTGGAGGAAAGGCAGCAAACATGTAAAAGGGAGAGAGAAAATTTGTAAGGTAGACATGAACCAGATTTTGAAGGCATTAAAACAGGCCTTTATGCTGCACTTTTTCTACGTTGAGCCAATTCTTCAAGGCAGGGTGGAAAGAGGTGATGTCCTAGGAGGCTGACAGAGGGCGTAGTGGTAGTGGAAGGGGCATCAAGGGGGAGCAGTAAGTGACAGTGAATATCAAGAACAAAGACAGAAAACTGATCCAAAAAGACACAACTCAAAATGTTACTTCACAGGGTTTTTAGCATTCATACTAGGCATCAAACTTGAGCCTGGAATGAAAAGAAAAATTCTGGTATTTTGCTGATCATGGATTTTCTTGCACTAAATTTGTCTTTGTTTTTAAAATAGTACATTAAATTGCATATGCCTACAGTTTCAGCTATTCAGAAGGCCGAGGCAGGAGGATTACCTAAGCCCAGAGTTCAAGCCCAGCCCTGGACACATAGAGAGACTGTCTCAAAGAAAAAAAAAAAAAAAAGCACTACATTGATTATTGAGTTCTTTGGCTCTTAAAATGTGCCCCTCAGGCAAGCACCTTATTTTTTCCTTAGGCTTATTATACTGAGGGTCCCAATTTAGAATTTTCCAATTGTACAATGGTGCAAAAACAATTTGTAATCAGTAGAAAGCACGCTTTGAATCCCGATCCTTCCCCAAGCTACTGAGATGCAACAGGATACACTCATCATGCCGGGCAGCGGTTTTGAACTGCAATTCCCAGTCCAACACGTGATTGTGAGGATAAACAACCAACATCCTACAGTGTACCGAGCTACTGGTTTTTAGATACCATGTTGGTATTTTTGCATGCCATCATGTCTATAAAATGACCATCTATCTGTGTGTACACATGAGATATTTAACACTTTTTTAAAAAAATAAAATAGGCTTTGTATGAGATGATTTTGCCCAACTTAAAGCTGCTACTCTGGCATGTTTAAGGTAGACTAAGCTAAGACATAATGTTTGGTAAATTAGATGTATTAAATGCATTTTAAATTTACACTAGTTTCAATTTGTGATGGGTTTATTAATCCCAATGTTAGCCAAGAAGCAGCTGTATAATACTGACTTCCAGATTGCTGAATTTGGGCCATCAAAAAAAGAAAAAAAAAAAACAAAATTAAAATGTTACAATGTTTAAGAACATTAAGAGGAAAGCTTGTTACTTATTTCTAAAAGATTTATCTCATATTACTATTATTAATTTTTGTGGCAGTATGAATCAATCCCATGGCCTTTCATATACTAGGCAGTGTTCTTCCACTGGGCAACTACTCCCCATTCATCTTGCATTATTGTAATTATTATTTGTGGTGCTGGGATCAAACCCAGGGTCTTGTACATGCTAGGCAAGTTCTCTATCACTGAGCTATGCCCCCAGACCTTTTGTATTATTTTAACATTATAAAAATAATATAAATTTTAGCTTATATGGAAGGAAGATTAAGTTAAGCAGGACACTTATTTATACGAAGCAAAGTAAAAATATCATATAATAAAGCACTCCAGTATCTATAGACGAAGTGGTCTAGCCAAGTGCCATGTATGGGATGAGTTCTTCAAATGAAGTAAGAGCCGATTTGTAGGTAAAACTTTCCATACTCTTTGAATATTGTCTGTTTCTCAGTTACCCAGGGAAAAATACCATTCCTTCCAACAGCGCTTTCCACATTTCTGTGAACCCATCAAGGCTCCTCCTTTACCTCTCTTTGGTGGCCGTACATGATACGTTAAGTCATTAATGACCAACTTGAAGTCATCGAGGAGGAGGAGATCTATCCCAGTCGAGGCAGCAACTCGAACACCATCTGTAAACATTTTAAATAAAACCTGTCACATGTCCACAGTTATTCAAGAATAGTCAGGAAAAAGTAATCCTCAACATAGATTTTCTAAAATTACCACTTCTCTTTTAAATTTCAGTTAACTTTTCACTTTATCCTCATTTTAGGCTGAACAAAGTTTAGATTATCTGAACTTCCTTATCTTCAAAAAGGCCTCGAGTCTGAAGATTTATCAAAATGCTTTTTTCTGCAACTGTATGAACAAGTGAAATAATTACTGCTCTAAGGATAGCAGATGGGGAGTTAAGGTTACTGGAAGAGCTGTATGGACAGACTTAAGACTTGTCTGTGATGGAAGCTGGCTGAGTTTATAACAAAACAAAACAATGTTTTCTAACATAAGGCACTTTCCAGTATAGTCAGTGAACTGCCAATTAATTCACTAGGGACAAACACTAGAGTAAGCAAAGTACACCAAGCTTGTCTAATAAGTATATTTTGCATGAGATACCTATGGCAGAGAAATAAATAAAGCATACAAATGTGGCAAGTGTTGACAACTGGTGAATCCAGGTGAAGGGTAATAGGTACATAGTGTACTAGTTTTTCATGCTTCCTATAGGTTTAAATTTTTTCCAAAGTAAAAATGAAAAAAAAAAAAACCAAAAACTTAAGCACTTAAAAAATAAACAGATGTTGGGCCAGGGATTTAGCTCAGTGGTGCCTCATAAGCTCAAGGATCCAAGTTTGATCTCTGGTACAAAAAAACAAAACAAAACAAAACAAAATACCCCAAACAAATGTTACATAAAATGGGAATTTTTAGTGCCTGATTTTATATTCTTTTCATTTCATATCATATACTCTGGTAATCATTTATGTGAAAAACCTAAGATTTACAAAGAAGTTCTCACATTTCATATCTCTAGAGGTGAGGGCTCAGCTCCTGGAAAAATTTATTCTACTTATAAGGTAGCAATAAAAGGTCTCAACAGTATAAGATGTGAATGATTGCTTATCCTTGCCCATGGCATTACATGTGAGTAGCTTTTGAATAGAATCCCTATGCATACACATTTGCTAAAACTCAATAGTTATATCCTGAGAAGTACCGGGAGAGAAATCACTTTCTCTCTCAGAACTTGCTAAGTGAAAAAACATTTTTTTTTTAAGTTAAAAGCATATTCTTTTGCAGTGACCTGTGTATGTGTGTATGGGAGTGAGTGTGTGCGTGTATACAGGTGTGTGCTCACGTGCGTGTCTATGTGTGTGTGTGTGTATCTCTGTCTATTTAGAAATAGTCTCGGGAGAAGTGAGAGGTAGGTGCGAATTAAAAATGAATGTGACTACACAAGCACAAGGACCTGAGTTCAATCCCCGGTACCAAAGGAAAAAAAAAGGTGACTATACCTGGTGAATAGATTGCAACTCGATCAATTCCCCGATCCTCTTCTTGCAGTTGTCGTAAAAATACACCAACAGAGTCGGAGATGGGTTTGAGCGTGAACTGGCAGCGTTCACGCCGGGATGGTAGCCTCACAGATATCACAGGTAAACCATTTTGATAAACCACTGTCACATCTGAATAAAAAGACCCACAAACATATGATAGTGAGATTTCATTGAAAGTTAAAGCCATGGTATTACTATGTATTCTGAGGTCTATTATTAATATTAGTGTGACTTAAAATTTTTTCAAAGAAGGCTTAAAACTGCCCTTTGCTTTAGTCGAAGCTTATTCTGGGAACTGTCTTAGGAAAGAACAAACAGATTAAAAGAATTCATTGTTCAGATATGAAAAAATGGACAAGAAATTACTCTGAATAGATGGAGGGGAGGCTGTCCCAGCGGTACAGTGGCAAATACAAGTTCTGGTTCCATTTGGCAAGATTTGACTGAGGAGCCACAGCTAGCCCAGATGCCTCAGCCTGGAGGAGGGGTCTCAGAGTGCAGAGCTTTCAAAAATCTCCAGGGAAAGTCATCTTCCTAAAGTACACTGGTGAAACTCTTACTCCAGCATAATTAACTCATATTTATAGTACAATATTATATCCAACTTGCCTGATAAATAATCATTCCTTTTTTACTGTAAGGACACACTGTAATATAATTAAAACCAATTCCTTTCTCTTGAACATCTTTCTGAGATTAGCTAAAGGCCAAATCTCAACTTTTGTGATTTTATAACAAAAATTCAGATTCCTTGAAGACTTTTTTTTCATAGTTCCTTCCTCTCTGGATCTCTGTCCTACAAATTTTAGCTGGTTGCTGTTCACAAACTGATCTCTGTTTCTTTCCTTTTTTGGTGTGTTGGAGTTTGGAAGGTACTCTGGAGTGTAAGCTGAGGCAAGGCAGGGGTCACTCATGTGTTTCTCTTTTCCTGAGGATCACAGGAATGTGCTTCCTGTGGTCCAATGTCTGAAAATGGTTATTCCAAATATTTTATCCATGTTCTAGTTGTTTATAACAGGACAGAAATTATCATAACAATTACTACTTAATGGATACATGACCTGAATCTTTACATAAAAATTAAAAGTAACATCCCAAATCTCTATTGCCTTTATGCTTCCAAAGGCATAGTCTATGCTTTCTAGGAACCAGTCAAAATAACATGAATTAATTCATAGTGTGTTCTATCTAAAATTTGCAGCATTTAAACATATTTGAAAAATTTGTCACTTTCCTTTTCTAAGAGAATCCTTATTAATCAATCCAATGTTCAGAGCCTCTGATATGTGAATATTTCTGTTTCTTCCACAGGCAGTAATGTTGACTAGGTCATAAATTTAGATGATTAACTTATTCACTTGGTATATGTATTCCAATTATGTGTTTCCTATATGTGGAAAAGACCAACATAGGTCTCCAGAAATCTACAAAAATGAATTTAAGTAAAACAGTCTTTGATTATTAAACATGTAATATTTCAAAGATTTCACTAAAGCAGTTTCACAGGTAAGTGCCTAGGGGTTTCTGCTTTAAAATAACTGAGACAAAGTCAACAGAGAAAATGATTGTCTTGTGCATCCAGTTTAACTTCTTCCTTTAAAAAACATGAAGGCTTTCAAAGGGATAAAATATGACAGCTTAGAGCAATTCTGCATGGAATAATATATTTCTGAGCTGATAAATCTTTGTTATAATTCTTAAAAAATAAACCTCCAGGTTCTTTTCTTTCCCACACACTACATTGTAATATAAATGTTAGGTTTCTTGGATTGCAACCAAAAAAGAACAAGTGCCAAAATTCCTCAAATTTAACAATATATAAAATAAACAGCAGGTTAAAGTGAATGGTCACAATGGGCATTTACCACAATGACCATTGTCAGCTACTATTCTCCAGAGACAAAATATTCTTTTAAAGTGTAAATTACATTCAGTGGATCTTTGGTTAGAATTGTTGATCTTTTGCTTTGATGTCCTTATCAATAAAATAAGAAATAAACTAAAAAAAAAGAGAAGGAGATAAACTACATATGTTTATCAACAGTGTTCTTCAAAGAAACTTAGAAGGGCATCTGACATGAACACTGGGAGCCAGAACATGACAAATGGATTTAGCATCAAAACAAAATGTCACGAATTGTACAGACTAAGAAGAATAGTTGCAGAAACTACAAATATTTGGGATTAAGGAATTTATTTTTTTTAAATGCCTTTGAGGCACCAGAAGAAGAAAGATGCTACCAGTGGAGTCCAGGCTGAGGGGCCAGAATGCACTCTCCATTGGAATGGAAGGGAAGGAATTTCTAGACAAACAATAAAACACAAGTAGCTAAAATGTTTGAAGAGATTCATGAAGAAATTATTAAGATGTTCAGTGAGCTCAAAGAGTGTGTAAATGAGATAAAAGGGCTGACAAATGAGCTTAAAGATAATACTAATAAACAGCCGAGAGATTAAAGAAGATAATGCAGGATATGAATGACCACTTTAGTAAAGAATTACAGATTATAAAAACAAATCAAGCAGAAATCCTTCAAATGAAAATCACAATGGCAAGTCCCATGATCAATCAGAGGAGAGAACATTAGAATTTAATGACAAGAATGAAATAGTATCCACTCAGCAATAGCTCTCCAAACAACAAGAAACCACAAGAGGTTAGCTCAAGAGTTCCTAGAGGACCCTAAAAGTAGAAACCTAAAAATTATCAGTGTCAAGGAAGGGCTAGAGAAGGAACTAGAGGAATTAAAAAATGTATTCACTGAAATTTTTGCAGAAAACTTTGGCCAGATGTTTAAAATATGCTTGTATAAAATATCAAGAAGGTTTGGTTAGTGCTCAAAATAATGAGTAAGCTCTCCACTAAAATGTATCACTTTATAAATATTATTATAGCTTTCAGACTTATTCTGAAAGGAAACTGGTAAAATAGGATGTGCATGTGCGTGCATGTGAGTGTTACCTGTAAAACTACATGGAACTGAACTTTACATGACAGATGAATGCAGTGACATTATTATGTTATTGTCTCTTTCTCCATACCCCAACCCTTTTGTAATATTCTGTATAAAAAATGTAAGATATAATCATATAATTTTAGTGCTAAAGGTCAGTGAAAGAATTTTTTTCTTTTTACAGCTAAGAATGACAATGTCCAACAAGGTTAAATAATATTTCTAAATCACACAGTTTTAGCTAATGTAATTTGGATCTTATAATTTGACTAGAAAATCATTTATTTTAGGTCACATATGATTTTAGGCTGCTATATCCTGTGGGAATTTTAGCTTTTAACTTGCTATTTTAGCTGCACTTAATGATGTTAACCATTCTCTCACTTTGTAAAAAGCTTTCCCTTTGGCTTCTATGATACTGCATTTTCCCTATTCTTCCTTTTCTAGACCTTCTAATTTTCCTCTATAGGCTACATATTCTTCCTCTATCTCTGTAAAGTTTCTAAGTGCTCTGTCCTACTCCTCTGTATCTTTCAACCCACATTCTATGGGTTCTATAGGCAATCTCATATCTTCCAAGATATCAGCAACCATGTAATACTGGTGATATCCCAGAGCTACAGTCCACTTTCTGCTGGGCAGTTGGGCTTCCCACCAGCATACCCAAAACTCAAAAATGCTAAGATTTAATTAATTTTCTTTAGCCATCCATAAGCTCAATGAGTAACGCTATCAATATTTAACTTCTGCCCAAGCCAAAAAAATGACCTAGTATCTTTGACTATTCACATCTTTCCTTCTATTTAAAAAACATATGTCGAATCCCTCTAAATCTTTATCCTACCACCATTTTAGCCCAGACCACCATTACCTCTGTCTTCTATCAGCTACATTGTAATTAGAGTCCTTACTTCACTCTAGCATACTGCTCTGGTTCAATTAACCACACTGAGACAGGGTAGTTTTTCTTTTTCCAAAGGAAACGACTATACTGAAGCTGGTAGTTGTGTTTATTATTCCTATCCATGATATACACATAAAAACACACATGAAGTCAGGCAGGCATGCACATGTGCACATGTGTGTACACACACATGTACACACACTACCTCAATGCACAATATATAGGGTTGGGAGCGCCTGCTTCCAAAATGGCCTTCTATGATGGTTCTCTTATCATTGGTGTTTATACCCTTGTGCAGTCGCACTCCACATCAAGCCACAGCTGGTGTGTATAACTATTAGAAACAGGAGAAATAAAGGTGTGTAACTTCTAAGGTCATGAAAGACTTTGTGGCTTCTGCCCCACACTCTTGGCTTACATACTTGTTCTGGGGAATCCAGTCATCACGACAATAAGTCTACAGTTCTATGAAAAAGCCTACATGAAGAATGGACGCCCCCACCAAAGGCCAGCTCTAATTTGTTACCCACACTAGTGAGCCACCTTCAAATTGGATCATCCATCCTAGTCACGCATTCAGATGTCTGTAGCCCTAGCTAACATGGGTTTGCAACCTCCCACACAAAACTGCTCAACTACACTGTTTCTGAGTCTCTAATCCACAGAAATATGAGAGATAATATCGACTTTTGTTTTAAGCCCCCTTGCAGTAACATGCTATATAGTATTCAAAAATTAAATATAGTATGGTTTTTACATGTATTTAGACTTCATCTCGATGATTACATTTATATAATCTGCAACTTGTCTTTTATGTTCATCATTGCCTTGAGAACTGCCAAAGTGGAAGCACATTTCTATGTAACTTACTTACACTAATATAAAGAATTTCATTGTATGAATATATATAATCCATTAAGAACCCAGATTTTTCCATTATTAAAAAAAGGCTAGAGTTAGTAGCAATAGCCAATGCTTTTAGTTTTTGATGTAATTTATTTTTCTCTTTCAAGCTATCATCTCACATTCTACTCCTTGAGCCATTTAGAATTTACTTTTGTGACACAGTAAGTCAGTTCTAACATTGCCATTTACTGAAGAGTTCAAGCTTTCTCCTCTTTCAAAGCTAATTTTATTACATGTCAAATTTCCATATACACAATTTCTCTAATCCAATAACCCTTCCTGTACCAATATGTCACTGTTTTCATTATTGAGGTTTTGAAAATATGCTTTACTATCTATGTGCTGTAGGTAGGCCATGCCTTCTT